TTTTCTTTTATTTTTTTTTTTTTTCTGTGTGTGTTTGGGGCCTGGGGTATTAGGATGAATTACTCACATCGGAAGTATTAGGATAAACTGCAGAGGGTGTTGTTTTGGTTTTTGATATTTTCCTATCAAACCTCACAGAATCAATCACGCTTTGATCAGGGTTGGAAGGGACCTCTGGAGATCATCTAGTCCAACCCCCCTGCCCGAGCAGGGTCACCTACAGCAGATTGCACAGGACGGTGTCCAGACGGGTTTTGAATGTCTCCAGGGTCAGAGACTCCACCACCTCTCTGGGCAGCCTGTTCAGTGCTCCACTACCCTCAAAGTAAAGAAGTTCTTCCTCATGTTTAGATGGAACTTCCTATGCTCAAGTTTGTGCCTGTTACGTCTTGTCCTACCAGTGGGCACCACTGAAAAAAGACTGTTCCCATCCCCCTGGCGCCCTCCCTTTAAGTATTTATAAGCATTAATAAGATTCCCCCTCAGTCTTCTCCAGGCTAAAAAGACCCAAGTCTCCCTCAACCTTTCCTCATAGGAAAGATGTTCTAGTCTGCTAATCATCTTTATAGTCCTTTGCTGGACCCTCTCCAGCAGTTCCCTGTCCTTCTTGAACTGGGGAGCCCAGAACTGGACACAATACTGCAGATGCAGCCTCACCAGGGCAGAGTAGAAGGGGAGGATAACCTCCCTCGACCTGCTGGCCACACAAACCTCGGTACCCTTCTGTTTGGTACTGTAATGCAGCGTAAGTTGTTAGAGCTCAGCAGTTTAAAAAATTCTCTAGCATTTTATATGCAGGTCGGGCTTCATGCCAAATAGTTTCTTTTGAACTTAAACTCGTGAATGAAAAATTCTACTTGGTAGATTAGGATTGTACAGCGACTGAGTGTCTGCCAGGTCACCTTGTAAGAACGGAAAAGGGAAGAGGATGATAGATGTTTTGGAAATCAGTGGGGTTTGGGACTGCCCGTGTGTCTCATAACTCCCTAGATTTTTGCAGTAACTCCTTTCATGACAGAGAGAAATCCTTAACACACCACTGTTGACAGTTCGTGAGGCATCTGTGGAGGATCTTCTCTTGGCAGAGCCAGAACCAGACCATCCTGGGAAATGCCAGGTCACGGGAGTCATTCTGGGTATGTGCTGGTAATTCCGTAAGCACCTTCAGCTCCTCGACACTAAGAGCAGCCTTCGGGGTAGACGTTCCTGATTCATCAATGAGAAAGTTGAGTTAGCCAACAGAGGTGATTTAGGCCGAATGTGAACTAAACTAGATTAATATCTGTAATACAATGGGAAAACATCCCTGGATTGATAGGATATTGGGAGGGTACCTAAGTCTAATTTTCTTCAGGTGAGTGATACTGAGTTCCACTGAGTTCCATGCTGCGTTTTGAGATTTTATTTGGTAAACGGCGTATGCTGCCAACAGGGTTATGGGGCAGTGGTGTCCTGTTACAAGCAGACTCATGCTTTATTACCCCTTGCTGTTCTAGTAAACAAGCTTTCTGAAATAAAGGCTTGGGTGGGAATTTTTCCCAGGAGTGGGTTTTCTGTGGTAGGAGTAACATGCTTAGGAATAAGAAAAACATAGGAATACCTACATGCTGCTTATTGCAGTTACTACTATTAATGCTTTTATTATTGAAATGCTGATTTAGTTAAATAATAAAAGATGTATAATCGGTGAACACTGTTAGTCTAGTTTTAGACAGAAGCACTAGAATACCCAGGACTTTGTTGATACTACAATACATGCGTCTCTGAAAACTTGCTTTTTCAGGGGATGGGAGCACAGTACATGCTGGGAGCGTTATCCTAACCACTGGTACATTTCTGAGGGGTATGGTCCTCATCGGACTGGAGATGCACCCAGCTGGGCGGCTGGGGGACCAGCCGGCCATCGGGCTGGCTCAGACTCTGGAGAGACTGGGATTTGCTGTGGGCAGGCTGAAGACTGGGACGCCGCCCCGGCTTGCCAAAGATACGATTGACTTCAGCGGTCTGGAGGAACGTGCAGCTGACAATCCTCCGGTGCCGTTCAGCTTCCTCAGCGAGTCTGTGTGGATCAAGGTGGGAGAGCACGTGTCAAATTGCGCATAGAGCCGGGTGGGGAGTGGTCTGGGGAATGTCATGCTCAGAATCAGCCAGGGAGTTGATGGCTGGGAAAGGGAGCTGGGCTGTATTCATACTTATCGTGGTTTAGGCTGGACTGGCCACTAAACGAATGAGAGATGCCCTCTTAACCTCTCTCTCTTGTTTGGGAGGACTCTCAATGCAAAGGGGGAAATTGCTTGTCATCTTTTGAAAGCAAGTACCTTTTTCCTCTCACTTCTCAACTTAAGAACCAAACTTCCTTTGCTTTTAGAGTCAGAATTGCGTGAAATATGATAGTAGTAGTATTCATGTGCTGATCATATCAGTGGTTTACAAAATGCTTCCAGTATTAAACCTGTTTTGTGGAAATTTATGCTGCTCGTTACCCCAGCTGTAGAATAAGATTAAAATGTTGAAATTAGAGATCACTAGTGGTGTTGACTAGGACAGAGAAAGGATGTAATTTTCCACAGAGCTCAGAGGTGGCATGTTAACAGTAACTTGAAAGCAGAAGAAACTCAAATTTCCAAAGAAAATCTTGGAAAATGGATGGCATTCTTATATAATGTAGTTAAGCAACACAGAATTAAGTATCAGGAGTTCATTTGCCCCAGAGCATATAGGAATTGCAGTACCCTATATATCACTTGAAGTCCTTGGTATGTGTAGGAAAGGTTTTAGGGAGTTGGGGTGTAACATTATTACTGTTTTGAATGTGACCCTATTGACTTTTTCAGGAAAATCAGTGAAATACTTTAAATGGTGGGGTTTTTCCAAACCTTGAATTTTCCATGTTAATTGCAGGGGTTTGAGAGATTTCTTTTTTTTCTGCACTGAACTCTTTAACTGGCTGTTAGCTGTAGGGTCAGCACTTACTCCTCTTACTTCAGAGCTTTGAATTCCTGTGATTAATTTGAATGCTGTAATACAATGCGTTGCATTAATAGGTATATCCATCCTGTGATTAGGAATACAGTGTATAGAATAGCACTTGAATTCTGGACCCCCAAGTTCTGTTCTGTTCTGGGTCTGCTTTTGGGTGTGTTGCTCAAGCTCTCTGCTCATGTTCTGCCTCCACAGTGGGTATGACAGCACTGCCCATCTCTAGGAGAGCCAGCTCTTATGGAAAAGCTCTTGGAGATCCTCAGAGCTGTTCAGAAAGGGTACAGTGTTGTGACTGGGTTAACTTAAAATGAGCTTTGACGTCTTTCAGCCAGAAGATCAGCTGTCATGTTTCCTGACTCGCACTACCCCAAAAGCCCAGCAAATTATCCATGATAACCTCCACCTGAACAACCATATAAGGGAGACAACAAGGGGCCCACGGTAAGTATGTGGCATCTTGCAGGGCTCTCAATGGCACGAGCTGACAGTCTGTCTAAAACTGTGGGTTTCCCCGGCTTTGCTTCTGGAAAGTTACCTTTTCTCCATGTCAGGTGGTGCTCATGGTTGTTTACTGTTGCAGGTACTGTCCCTCTCTTGAATCAAAGGTTCTGCGCTTCCCAAACCGAGAACATCAGGTGTGGCTAGAGCCCGAAGGCTTGGAGTCCAATGTCATTTACCCCCAAGGCATGTCGATGACACTGCCACCTGAGCTCCAGGAGCAGGTGATCAAATCCGTCCCAGGCTTGGAAAAAGCTAAGATGTTACAGCCAGGTGAGGGGGGTGAATAGTTTTAAGTCTATTTGTCAGACTGGTTACCAGCTAATAAAAAACAGATTTTGTTTAGAACATAGCAAAACAAAGGAAATATGAAACAAAGTTAATTCTTGGATGCAGGGATTTTTCCTTGTTTTTTTTTAAATTGTAGATAAAAGTTTATAACCGAAGTCATTCTGCCCCACTGATTGCCTTTGCTGATAAATAGGAACCTTCAAAATCCCTCCCGTAAGATCTGTCTTTTTTTTTTTTTTGTCATAGGCTATGGGGTGCAATATGATTTTTTAGATCCCCGTCAACTGACTGCTTCTCTTGAGTCTCGTCTTGTTCAGCGCCTCTTCTTTGCAGGCCAGGTAAATGGCACTACAGGCTATGAAGAAGCTGCAGCTCAGGTGGGTGAATCTTATTGTCTATACTGAGAGCTCAGAAAGGGATATTATCTTGGCATTTCTCTTTGATATGCAGGATTGCTTGGCCCGTCTTAACTTTTGTTGCTCACCACGATTCCAGACTTGCCATTCTTACTTTTAGTATCTACAGTTGCTGTTACTGAGATTGCAGTAACAAAAGTACTTGGAAGCACTGTCAAATGTTTCAGCATGGAGACTGTGCAATGGGTATAATTGAAAACATGTGGGAACTGTCTCTAGTCATGTCAGCAGGGACCAAGAAGCCCATCAGACAGTCACAGTATCACGAGAAAGAAACTGCCTAGGTTACTAGCAGATTGTTGCATTTTCCAGGGTGCCGTTTGACACGACTCTTTGGAGGCAGATGCGCTGATATTTTAGCCATGAAGAGACTGATGTGTTTTCCGTTTTGTTTTCTGTCTGCCCAGGGCGTGATTGCTGGGATCAATGCTTGCCTACGGGTTCATGGCAAGCCCCCTTTCATTGTCAGTCGCACTGAAGGCTACGTTGGTGTCCTGATCGATGACCTGACCACCCTGGGCACCAGTGAGCCGTACCGGATGTTCACCAGCCGCGTGGAGTTCCGCATGTCCCTCCGGCCTGACAATGCCGATGCCAGGCTGACCCACAGAGGTATTTTCTTCTGGTGGCTTTTGCAGTGAGCAGCCTTTGGTTGTAGACCTTTGTCTCACACACCACCTGTCTCCGCAGGTTTTGAGGAAGCTGGGTGTGTGTCACAGCAGCGATACGGACAAGCAGTTAAGATGAGAGCTGCTTTAGAGGATGGAATTGCAACACTAAAATCCCTTCAGTTCAGTATATCCAAATGGTCCCAGTTAATACCAGAAGTTCCCATCAGTAGCAATCGAAGGTCGCCTGTCAGGTAAAGGTTACAGCTGAAGCTTTCTGGTCTCACCTACGCTTGCTTTAGCACATCTGGCTACTGGTTTCACAGCGTTTGTCCATCCTTCCTGAAGCCATCAGTACTCCAAGATTCCAGCTGTGTCACCTTCAGGGGACGGATACCTGTATGCCTGTAGAATAAGTGGGACATGGGTGTGTTTACTATGCCACATGTCCTGGTGCTGACATTGGCTCCCAAATCAGGGGGGCACTCCACTGGCCTGTTCAGTTCTTGCTCTCCTTATGGAGAGTGACACCATGTGGTGACAATTTTGCAGTGGGTTGCTGCTTTGCTGAAAGCTTGATAAAGCAGCGATCGATTTTAAGCTAGTGTCAGATGTTGGCTCTTCTTGTACACAAAGGGCCTTGCTTCCCTTACCCATCCTTTCTCTCACCTTAATCTTTTCTGTTGTTTTAAATCGGTGACTAAAACCTTCCTGACTTGGTCTGTGTGAAAGATTTCCCTTGATGCCCTTACTTCGTCCTTTCTGTCTGGCTGTTCATAAAGAGCCCCTCTTCAAGAGCTGAACTGCTCTTCTGTGTAGTGAGAGGAGATAGTAGAGGGGTGAGCTTAGCTCTGCAGTTGTTCTGGCTTATGCTGAGATCTTTACGAGTTTGAGCTGGGAACAGCTGTAAATCTGCCTTATGCAAGGGACTCCTTCCTACCATAAAAACTTAACTCTTGTTCTCCACAGTGCCTTTGACATCCTTCAATATTCAGAGGCCAACATGGAGGTTCTTGCAAGGGCTGTCCCAGAGCCCCTGGGAAAGCTTGCTCAATGGAGAGAACTGGCAGAGAGATTGAAAATAGAAGGTAGAGTACAAGAGTTACGATCTCTTAGTGGGATCTGCATACGTGTTGTTCAGTAGGGGGAGAGCCAATCCATTCCTCCAAGTGTGTTTCACATTGCTGCTTAATGAAACGAAACACTGTTAGCAGAGCATGCTCTTTTTACCATAGGCCACAGCCCTATGCAAGCACCTGTGTTTTGCTTTGTGGGTTGAGATCTAGTATTTGTGTTCTCTCCTGGGCTTTTCCTCCTCACTGCTCTGTAAAATAGAGCATCCTTTGTTGGGATGAGAGGAAAAGCCAACCCATGTATCTTAATTCCTGTAACAAATCAAAGAGTATGACTTCTTCTAAAGTAGTGATGTGAGTTAGGCTCTTTTGTCTGTGAGGCTGGAAACTTCTTCAGAAGCTTTTGACCATCTCAGTGGAATCGCTCATTCTTCTTCTGAGAATTCCTGCAAGTGACCTGTCTCACATGAACATCTCTATCTGGTCTTCTTGTTTCCCTCATCTTCCATCACAGCTGCTTATGAGTGGTGTGTGGTCAATCAACAGCAGGAAATAGAAGAAGTGCGTCGCGATGAAGCCCTCCAACTGCCAGAGGACCTAGATTACTTTGCCATTGATGCGTCGCTCTCCACAGAGGTGCGGGAGAAACTGGACTCTAACCGTCCCCAGACGGTAAGGCATTGGGCCACAAGGTTGAGCCACAATGAAAACGCTTCTGTGTCTTCCCAAGGGACATGGGGGGTGAGGAGAATTGAGGGAAAGGAACACCCAGAGGTTTTGATCTCATGTTTTACTAGCTCCAGTGTGTAGGTTTGTTCTTGGTTTACTTGTTCCTGTTTCCACACGCAGATTGGTGCAGTCAGCCGCATCCCTGGAATTACACCAGCTGCTATTGTTAACCTGCTAAGATTTGTGAAAAGCAATCACCAGAAGATGGAAAAGCTAAAAGCATTACCTCAGACTGGCAAGTATTTACCAAGAAAAATGTGCTCAGAGAAAACAACTTCCCAAAGACAGATTTCAGCAGAGTTTTCTGAAGAGGAGCCAGAGAGTACCTTTGTTAAAACACCTTTGTAGAGAAGTGTACCCCCTCCTACCAGCGGATGTGGCAAGATCACCTGCACTCATGAGCCTCTTCACAGATAAAACTGATGCTGGGTGGATCCAAAGTAGTTCTGGTTGTGTCCTGTGGCAGTGTCGTCGAGTAGAACAAAGATGACGAATCGTGAAGTGCGTGCTTATGAACCTGAATACAGCCTGTGATTTTGCCAATCCAAATGAAAAGACAGGGGAATTGCTGCTTTTAAAGTTTGCTCATTTGGAAGGTGTCAGATAGTCAAAATCTGTTCTAAAGCATCTTGGAAAGGACGGGGTTTTGCTCTTCTGAAATGAGTAAGAAATGTTACCGTGCTGAATCCACAGCAGCACCAAGAGGATTTGAGCTAGAAAGTGTGTTCCATTGACTTCAGTACTTGTGTTTATAGCTGCGCAGTGACTATGCACAGTCTGAAGTTTTAGTGTGATGTCAGCCAATAGGAGACACTTGGTTACGGAAATGTATGCCACACGAATATTTAAACTTATGTGGGAGACCGAGTGAATGTAAACACTGTATCCTGGGCTCTTTTTTCCTCCTTTAAAATAAAGCTTATATTGAAACTTGCTGAAGAACTTCACAGAATCACAGAATGGTCAGGGTTGGAAGGGACCTCTGGAGATCATCTAGTCCAACCCCCCTGCCAGAGCAGGGTCACCTACAGCACGTTGCACAGGACAGCGTCCAGGCAGGTTTTGAATGTCTCCAGAGTGGGAGACTCCACCACCTCTATGGGCAGCCTGTTCCAGTGCTCCACTACCCTCAAAGTAAAGAAGTTCCTTCTCATGTTAAGATGGAACTTCCTATGTTCAAGTTTATGCCCATTACCCCTCGTCCTATCACTGGGCACCACTG